CAGATGTGGGTAACATTTTTTAGCTTGTTATCTACACATGTATTGACTTTTTTTATTTTATAACTAGTCACTTCAGCAGAGTCATAACTATTTGCATAAGCAGATGCTCAATATAATATCTATTTATCATATAAATCCTGATTGTGCAATGCTATTAAAAATTTTATAACTTGATGACAAGTGATTATGATAATATGTGCATATACGCACATTAACATTATGTAAACATCACCAGCAACCTTAATGAAACACAGTTCATAATAATAATCACACATTATTAGATTCCTAATGATACCATAACTTAAATATTAAAATCCTATTTTTGCTAAGTAGCATTTTTTGTTGCAGTTCAAATATTCTTAATTTTTTTCCCACATTATAACAGAACTCACTCGTGCAGAAAACTGCCTTATTGTAGACATCAATAATATAGCTCATTTATTATTTTACGCTAGATTAAACTACTTAATTTTCTTCAGATCACCAACTGTTAGCATTTAATTATTTATCATTTTGCAATACATTTGTGAAAGTATTTTAAAAATATAGTTTTCAAAATTGTAATCAACTAAAACTGTAAAAACATAAATCAAATCTTGAAAATGCAGGTGTTAGAGAAAAGTGAAAAAAAAGCATTGTATTCTTTTTTTAAGGGAAGAAAAATATAAATTGCTTCTCTGTTAACATTATTAATAAATGCAGCAATATTTTAATAAAAAATAAAAAATACTACATTAAAAATATCCATTCAATACTTATTTATACACGCTATGACTATATTTATACAGCTAATAGTAGTTTTACATGTTTAACCCCTTAAGGACACATGACGTGTGACATGTCATGATTCCCTTTTATTCCAGAAGTTTGGTCCTTAAGGGGTTAAGAGACCCAATAGGCATAAAACCACGTCTTCTAATTGGACTTCTTTTATAGTGCCTGGAATTCCTTGACACTGTCCCAAAATTCTGTATTAAACTGTTCAAACCCAGCATTAGCCATATAAACCTATACCAGTGATGGGCAACAGAGAAAGATTGATAGAGCTAATTTGATACTCTCGACCTATCACTCCTGCCTATTGCTGAGCAGCAAAGAAGAACAGGGCTTTAGGCACTCATTATGTAGCATTCAACTTTTGGAACATATGTTGCCATAAAACAGTGGGAGAACCAGCATCAAGAGGTCTAAATAATTTATTTCAGCATGCTACATTTTGCAAAGTTTTACCTTTAAAACTATATTTCACCTCTTATTTTTTTTTACAACTTCCAAAAATTAAATAAGCTCCTAGACATATTGGGCATTTTAACAATCAGGACTAATTGATGAATCTATTTTGAGTTAGTGTTCTTTTTTTTTCTCCCCATTTTTTTCAATTGATACTTTTTTATTGTAGCATAGCAAGGTATACAGGTGGTAATCAAGATACAATTTGCTACATGTGTGACATGGATCATATAAGCATAAGACAAATGGCATATATTCTATAACATCATACGTACAAGTAGCTTAAGCTTACATATTAGTAATAGTAAGGTTAATCAATTGCTTAGCGGAAGCTACTTATATTTGATGAGGGATGCAAGCAAATTAGGATCGATATTGCTGTTCCAGCTGGTAGTAACATTGTGGCTGCATGAACAGAGTTAGAGGAATAGGTTAAATGAGAAATAAAAATCAAAAGGCTGATCCAATGAGATCAGAAGACTATAACAGATACTCCTATGTATGTTGCAATGGTGAGTCGGCCGAACTCTGTATAGGCTCAGTTCATCAGTTGAGCTCATTGATTGAATGAGGAATGATTGAAGAATGGTTGGATTCTTTTAAGATCCCATAGCCTGGCGGAGGTTGTTGGTACCGGTTCTGCTGTGGTTTTGCTAGGAGTGGAGAGATACCCAAAGCTGTAAGAAATTTCTCAGAACCGCTGGCTTGCGCAATATGCAATATTTTGCCATGCTGTTTTACATATAGCCTTCACCCAGGACTTCAGCAATAGGTATTCCATTGTTTTGCAGAAGCTGGGTCACTGCTTTCATGGAGTGTCGTCAGGTTACAGTCACCCTAGAGGGGTCATTGTAGAAGGATAGATCAGATCATTTGAACTTGTAAGTGGTTGCTTTGCAGGCAGCATCTTGCACTAACAGCCTGCCTCAAAATGATTGAAAGCATATTAGCAAGTCCAGTGGGGCCTCAGCTGGGTCTCTAGGAGGCCTAGGGACTCAGAATTGGTACTCCAGGATGATGGATTTTGCTTTTGCTGGTGGGAGTAGGAAGGCCATTAATCTCCATAGGCAGTGTGTGTTCTCAGGGTCTTGCATATCCTCTGGAACCCCTCTAATCCTGAGGTTGCGATGGTGTTTAGAGTCTTCCAGTGCTGCCACTTTGTTTTCCGTGTTAGTGTTTACCTGTCGAAGTTGGACCATCTTTCTCTGAATATTCCCTGTTTTTTGTCTGCTGTAGTCACCTCTTTTACCTCCATGGCCTATGTGCGGGCAGTAATTACGCCCAAACCCAACCTGATTAATGCAACATCAGCTGCAGATTGGGCTTTAAGCTCCTTGAGCAGGTTGAGGAATTAGGCTTTGCTTGCTGGTGTTTGATCAGGAGGTGAAGTGCAAGCCGTTCGGGTTTTTCCTTCATTTGCAATTACCACAGCAGTCTTATCATTGCTTTCTTCCTAGGTGTAGTCATGTGTCTCCTGTGTGGGTGTAGGCCTCAGCCAAAGAGTTACTCTGGGCAAATTGCCAATAGTTTTAGTTGCCGGCGTCGTCTCGCTCTTTAGATGCTGAGATATGCTGCTCGGACAAGTGTTGGAGGTAAATTAAACTTAATAGCGGTATGTCAGCGGGTTTCTCCCAGGAGCTCAGTGATTTCACGTCTGCTTGAGTTGAGCGCTAGCTCCGCCCCTTCTACCAATTTTTAAATTTTTTTTTTTTTTCAATTTTCTTTCAATTCAATTCAATTCAATTTTTCTTTTTTTTTAAAATATATATATATATATATATATATATATATATATATTTACATATATATATATATATAGGGTATCAAGAGAAAGCCTGATTTCTTGTTTAAAATGATATATAATATGAATGCGTGCACTAAAACAGAAAGGGGAAAATTGTGGTGGAATTAATGCATGGCAAAATCCCAAAAAGGCCTTGGTCACAAACATGTTGCATCTCAAAAAAGTCCTTCAGGAGATAAATTATATTATTAAATAAACAACTTTGAAAACTGAGCACTGCAGCTTATGGATATGACACTAGTCTACCAAAAAAGGTTGTGGTAATAATAATTTCTACATGGTTTGTATATTTAATCTTCAAATTAATCATAGAACAATTTCTACCTATAAATTATGATTTATTGTCTACGAATCTCGAGAAATGTTTGTTCTGACAAAACATAGATATTGTATAGCATATCAACATCACCCAGCCCAGGTGCTAAAGATAAAATTAAGTGTGAGGAAAAAACAGCATGATATCAAAAGCTATGTGCCAGAGGCATGGACCCAAATTCAAGTGTTAATAATATCCCTTCTGCAGAAAGGAACAAATAGAGCCAAACTCGTATAACTAGAACCAGTAGTTGTCACATATTGGCGTATTCACTAGCAAAAATGCTTTGACTGCACCTGCTGTTGTTTTCATATTGTGTGTTAACACCTAGATTACTACTTTAGTATTATAATTGATCCTTCTTCTATGTTGTGTTCTCTTTGTAAATCCAATATATATTTGAAAGACCCAAAACTCAAATAACTGTTGGGCAAACAAAAAAAAAAAATCAACATGTTAAAACATCATAAGGATTCAATGTTACTCTAAAATTGTGTTCCTAAATAATTTTTTAAGCCACATTCATTGCAGTTGATGTATGAAGCTTTATAAAGTTCTTTCTTAAACTAAATGTTGATATACACCTGAGATCTGACTTCAGAAGAGGTTGAATCATTCAGGTATCTCAAACCGCAGCTGACTTACCATAGGGCTGTAGGTCTTTGAAGTAGGACCTCAGGAGCCAGGTGAAATGTAGAATGAATGTATTTTATTTCTTTGCTGCTGGTTCTTATAAGATTAATAAAACTGTTCTGCCAGGGGCTTTAGTGAAATTATATGATCAGTGAGTGAAACATCATTTGCCAGCAAGCAAAAATAAAGACAATGGAATTGTCAAACTTAGAGAAATAACTCCTAATAATTCATCCTAAAATGTATTGGTGATCCAACATTATTTCTCACTGGCCTTTAAGGGACATACATGTCATTGCAGTTCTAGGTAACTTTCCATCATATGCTTGGCTGCACTTTCTGTATATTGACATGGAAAGGCAAGAAGTCAAACTCCCTTAGTGACTGCATTACAGTTACATGTTTTCACCGAAATTAAGGGTTCAGTTTGGCTAATAAATTTTAATCCAGAGGAAATGGGTCAACAAAGTAAAAATGGTCAGAGTGAGAAAATGAGGTTGAATGTTAAATGGTGGGGTAGATTATAAGTAAATGGGATAGATGATGGTTGGTGAATAACAAATCATTGCTCAATCTATTTTTAATATTTGTTAGTGCACATCAGTGTGCTTATTGTCTTACTTATTTTATATTTACATGCTTTTTTTAATGCTTCTGTGATGCTAATGACCCCCACCCCATTTATAAGCAGTTAACTAATCATAGGCATGCGCAGCCTATTGCATTAGGGTATGCACCCTAAAGCACAAACACACACGCCACGTGTGTATATATACACACATATATATATATATATACATACATACATACACACATATATACATATATATATATATATATATATATATATATATATATATAACAAAATGTAGAAAGTCCTTGCACTCACGCTTTAGTAAACTGTTTGCCGGGTGCTTGAAATCCAGGAAAAACTCAAATATGTACAGGTAGTGATCAGCACTCTCTGACTTTTGAAGGTTACAACTTACAGTTTATTAGTAATCCATTAAAAATATGATCAACTTTTCAGTCCCAGCAGGGACTTTCATCAGGATCAGGCATAGGCTATGCCTGATCCTGATGAAAGTCCCTGCTGGGACTGAAAGGTTGATCATATTTTTAATGGATTACTAATAAACGGTAAGTTTTAACCTTCAAAAGTCTGAGAGTGCTGATCACTCCCTGTACATATATATATATATATATATATATATATATATATATACAAAGGAGTGTGGGCGGAGCTGAGAGGAGCTGGGCGGAGCTGAGCCAGCACCAAGAGACCCAGGTAAGTGACAGAAGGAGTTATTAACCCGTTCTGCACCATAGGGGGGAGCCTCGACAGAGGGGGAAGCTATTTTGCCAGTAAATCGAGTTTGTTTTCCTGGCATTATAGTTTCCCTTTAATGCAGTGGTGTTTTTAAGGTAAAACAGTGTGTGTGAATTAAGAGGGAGCTAATCTAAGATCCACAGCAACTACAAAGTACTGTGTTTAGAGTATGCCTTTAATGGACATCACTGTATGAGTTTTCTCTTTTTTTTTGTCACTTCAAATCTTCCTATTGCAATAATTCACCTACCTACGTTTATCTCTGATTACCAGACCCACAACTCTCTATCTTTATTAGCTCTGACTTGTCTTTTTCTCTTTAGTAACTGACTTTCTCTCTCTTTAGTATCTATCACTCTATCTTTTTAGTAACTTGCTTTTTTCTCTTTAGTAACTCTCACTTTATCTTTTTAGTAACTCACTTTCTCTCTCTTTAGTAACTCTCACTTTATCTTTTTAGTAACTCTAACTTTCTCCCTCTCTATTAACTCACTTCCTCTCTATTTAGTAAATCTTACTTTGTCTCTCTTTAGTAACTCACTTTCTCCCACTCCAGTAACTCACTTTCTCTCTCTTTAGTAAATCTCACTTTCTTTCTTTAGTAACTCTCACTTTCTTTCTCTCTAGTAACTTTTTATCTCTTTTTAGTAACTCTCACTTTCTTTGTCTCTAGTACTTCTATCTCTTTTTAATAACTCTCACTTTCTTTCTCTCTAGTAACTCACTTTCTCTCTCTTTAGTAACTGACTTCTCCGTTTCTCTCTAGTAACTTACCGTATCTCTTTTTTTTTTTAGTAAATCTCACTTTCTCTCTTTAGTAACTGACTTCTATCTCTTTCTCTCTTTAGTAAGTCTGCTCTCTCTCTTTAGTAACTCTCACTGGTGTGTGTCTCTCTGTCTATTTTTCCCTGCCTCTACTTATGTCTCCCTTCCTAATCCCCTCTGCTCTCTTGTCTCCCTCACCATTTATGTCTTCCCCCCATGTCCCTCTGTCCTTGCCTTTACCTTGTGCATAGTGGCTTTCCTCCATCTTCCTTGCTCACATTGCTGATGATACCTGGAGGAGCTGTGTGTGGAGTGGGCGGTGTTCTGATGTCAGATCCTGCCAGAGCCCCTCACACAAACAAGAAGTTCCTGCAGTACTGAGCACTCCCCTGTATACCAGCCGGCAGGGTAAGCAGTGTGAGTGGCTGTGTGTGTGCAGTCTGGGATGTCTGTAACTGGCACTCAGCTAGTATTGTGGGCTATTATGGAGATTTAACGATCTCCATAACTGACCCAATGCTGCTCAGTCCATCCCTGCACCCTGTGCGCACGCCTATGCAAATAATGAGTGGTTTGATGTCTTACCTCGGGTCAGCACGGTTCTACATCTTGTCTCTTCTACCTCTGACAAAAGCAAGCTCTGAAGCAGGAGATTAGTTTATATTTCCTGAGCTAAGACCTGCAGTCCAGGGCTAACTCATTGGCTAAGAGCATCATAAGTAGTTAAGTTAGGGGCAGCGACCACCAGGCCACAGGTATGAAGTCAAATTACTCTAGATAGCACACTGTATTGGTTATGGTGTTTGCAGTGTTCCTTGGAGAAGTTTTATGGCAGCTTTTAATAATAATTTTATTTTTAAATGTTAAACTTGTCAAGGGTACTTAAAACTGTGACCTATAACAGTTCAACTAATTACACAAGAATGATTGATTTGTGTGCATTGTTCTTTATTTGGAAGAATGTTCACTACATTCTACATTGGGTATGGTATATATCAAATTGGCTGTTGTGCATTCAAAACAAATGTGTAACACTAAATAAATTGCAGAACATATTAGTTATCATTTATACCTCATTATTAAATCCCAAGTAAAGCTGGGAGCAGGCAATATGTAAAAAATAATGGACTAGACCTTGTAGAATAATGAAACCTGTTCTAGAGCAAAACTGCAATTACACATTAAAAAAAAACATTTTGTATGTTAAATATTTAAGTATTTATTTTCTTGAAACTGTAGAAGAAAGTTTTCTGAGACTTGCCTGAGGGTTATTTCAAAACACATTTAGATATTTTCATTTTCTTGTATAGTAGATGACATTGCAATGTGATACTGAACTATGTGGCCCTAAAAAATGTATTAAAATGTACAACATTAGTAACACAAAATTATAAAATGACCACTAGAAATTAAGTATATAAATATCTAACAAAGAGTGAAAAAGTTAACAGAAAACCTATAAATACATTTTATTTGCATTGAAGCAATAAGTATCTGTGTTTGTTCAATTGTCGATATCTTACTGTGGAAAATGTATTACATGTAAAACAATAGCATTAAAGTAATATTAAGGATTAGTTTTATATATAGTATCTTTTTCAATCAATAGATGTTCTAGATGGACATCTTTTTTCTTGGGTAAAAAAATTGGCTTAAATATAGAGTACAGAGAGTTGTTACTAATGGTAAACTTTTAAGCTGGACAAAAGTGGTGTCCCTCAGGGTTCTGTTCTGGGTCTGCTTCTATTTAACATATATATATAAATTACATTGAAATAGGCATTAAAAGCCATATTTCATTATTTGAAGATGACACAAAAGTAATACAATGTGAGCAAGATATTACTTTGCTGCAGAGGGATTTAAATAGATTGGGGGACTGGGCCTCAAATGGCAGATGAAATGAATGTAAAAAAAATGCAAAGTTACTACTTCAGGGTAAAGAATGCACACTCAACTTTCACCCTAAATGGTAGTGAATTAGGGATAACAACACATGAGAAGGGTTTGGGAATAGCTATAAACAACAAACTAGGCAACGATGTGCAATGTCAATCATCAGTTTGTGGTATTGTCATGTTATAAATAGGGGCATTAATTTTTGGGATGAGAAATTTTGCCTTTTTATAAATCACTGGTAAAACCACATCTTGAATATGCTGTGTAATGTTAGGCACCCATTCTATTGAAGGATATTATGGCACTTTAGTCTAAGGCAAAGAAAAAAGATTTTTTAAAGTATGAAAAATAAGGATGTGGCATTCTTTGCATGAAGAGGTGGTTTTATCAGAGTCTATACAGATGTTTAAACTGCATTTGGATGAATATTTGCAAAAATATAGTATTCAGGGATATATTTTTAATTAGTGGAGTAATAGCTTCTTGATCCAAGGAGATAATGGACTGCCATTCTGGGGTCAAGAAGGATTTTGGAAGTTCTTCTGACTGGGTTTTCTGCCTTCTTTTGGATTAATAGCAAAAACAAATGTGAGAAACATGTATGGATGACCAAAGATATAAGTTAGCTAATTATTAAGTCTAAACTTGATGGATGCGTGTTTTCTTTCAGTCATGTAACTATATTTCCAAAAAAACAAAAGTGTCCAGTGTTTTGTAAGTACAATTTAAAGAGTGAATAGCACATGCAATATGTGTTAGTAAAAATACAGTCAAGTGCCTCATCTATATGAAAATATTTCAGAAATATGGTAGGATTTGAAGTATATTTTGAGCCTGGTTTTTGGCCTGTAGTATGAGGGTTGCTGATTATTTCTCTGTTAATAGTGAGGGATTTCCAAATAAAGGCTTTGGTTTTATAAAGCAAGCCATCCATAAGCAGCCTGTTAAAACTGACACGTGCTGCAGAAGAATTACTTAACTTTTGACTATAATATCATTTAGATTACTTTGATAAAAAAATTAATATTTGGAATACGGGAGGATAATGTACCAGTTAAGTACTGGAAATTATTCTTTTTTTCAGTTGTGTCTTTTTATTTTTTATTTTAGCAATGTCATCAAGATATAACACAATGGCATTCCATTACATATCAACACAGGAATTCATACACATAATTGTTTTAAAAAACATAATAATAAAGAACATGGAGTAGAACAGTATTTCACTAAGTTATTTGCAATATTAATAGTCTTCACCATTATCAATCTCTGTATTTAGCTAACTTTTTATTTGGTTGTCCATACATGTTGATGATTATGTTACCTAAACATTAGTAAATGTAGCATTGTTTAGCAAGTTTCCTATATATCAACAGATGTACTGATAACAGAGCCTTGTTTCAATAAATTTTATGTTGATCTACTAAATACAATTAAATCAGTATTGGATAAATGAGAACATGAAAACAAATTTAAAGAAAATCAACAAACGCAAGGTAGCCTTGTTTGAAACACGCATGTTTCACAATTATCTAATATCTTCCCCATTTGTAATTACTCTCTTTGGTTGTGCAAGACCACACTGTTCTAAGAACTGGCATTTAAATAACCTTACAGTAATTCACATACACAAGTTTTTCACTTGATCCTTTATTAATATTATATTAGTTATTTCCCCTAATGAGGGTGCGATTTCTTGTGTCCACTTGTGTGCTATTAAGGAGTTGGTAGCTATGATAATATGGTAAATTGGCCTGAGCTGAGCTGGGAATGTTCTTTGGAAGCCTAAATAGCGTGTAGTGGAAGATTATGACTCTTGGAATCTGTAAACAACGTTGCCACTACTTGTCACATTTGAGATAACTTGTCTTAGCTCCATTCATAAGCATAGCTCCCACCTCTGTTTTGCAGCTCCAGCATACGTTTGAGCATCCTGAGTATATATGGGTCAAACGTGCTTGAACTAAAAACCACCTGTGCATAATTTTCCTCATTGACTGCAGATGTTGGGAGCAATACATTAATCAATTTTGCAATCTTCTGTAATCTCATGGACTAACTCTTATTGTTAACATTATAAAACATGGTTTGTTTGTCTTAACATGAGCTGCTAC